GTAGTTTATTTTGTGACACTTTTATTTTGTAAAGCTATTTAATTAAGGGGCTTTTATTTTAACTCCCTTTTTATTTCATGCTGTTTTATTATTTCATATTCTTATATGCAAAAGAGGGGGCGGAGTTTTCTCTGTGGTTGGTAATCTAATCTGCTTCCCTGAAGGTCAATCTGGAGCTGCACAGAATGAACAATTCAACACCAGTATTGTCAGCTTTGGCCGAACTACGGGTTTTCCTTTTGGGAGGCTGGATTCTTTGGATTCATTCCCTCTAAACTCACTTACTCCTCTGGTTAATAAATGTGCTCTTGCTTGTAGAGGTTTTTTTCTTCTTTTTATAAACACCATTGAGTATCATATTTCATTGATATAGAATGATGTTTTTATTTTCCTCATCTAACCTTCTGTGGTATTTTGTTTTTCTTTTTAAAGGTAGCGCGACCCCTGCAGGTTGCCGTATGACATGATCACTTGTTCCCCCATGTTTGTGTCATGTGTGTCTTCTTGAATGGGTGTTCTTAAATGTAATTTCATTGTGCTCAAGTACAATGACAAAAAAGGCATCAATCAATCAATCAATCAATATTCAGGAAATGATCAGTTTCACCTCCAGAGGGCTAGCCTGCCTGGCAGCTCTGCATAATAAAGTGTTCAATTTTGAAAACAAAACACAGTATACGTCCATAAATGAGTTGCATGACTGTCATACTGTGATTATAAAGCCTTTGCAGATGTACTTATTGTAGCTTTTGGCTAAATAAAACTGTGTTATTGAATAGCCTGTATTCAATCCTCTCACACTTGCTTCCATTTCTCTCAGTAAAATCAAAATAAGACATTAGTGTGTTCTAAGATTGTTTTTCTTTTATTTGATGGGGACATTTATTTATTTGATGGAATACTTATTAATACTTTATTAATAATACAGTATTTATTTATGAATGAAATGGCTCTCTTTAGACCTACCCGCATGCTCAAAACTGAATCTCTTTGTGTCATTTATCATCTGTCAAAATGGCTGCATTTCAGTGAGACGATAAAAAGATTAAATGTTGTTCCGATGTTTGTTTTTACAACATGAATTTGCTCAAATTTATTTTAAAATACAGTATTGAACACGTCAACATTTTTCTCAATAAATATATTACTACAGGTGCTAATGACATGAAATTTTCACCAGATGTCAGTAACAACCCAAGTGATCCATACATACAAAGAAATCAAACCATAAATGTCCAGAAATGAAGTTATTTGTAATAATGTGGAATGGCACAGGAAAGAAACAGCACGTTGAAGCTCGTTTAAAGTTTGCGGCACAACATTTAAACAAGCCTGTGTAATACTGGGAGAATATAGTC